AGCGGGAAGGGGGGGGGGAAGAATGAATTGGGCTTGCTTTAAGTCACTTAAAAAATTGTATTTGAAGTGAAGCTGAATTTGAGTTTTTGATCAATATTCTTCAGCCTCCTACATCATGATAATTATTGTCTTGAACAAAACAAAATTGTCCAAATATATAAATTGCTATGTAAAGTGACATCATATAAATGATCAATTGTAACACATTTTTAAAAAAAAGAATGTACACAGGAGTAGGATGGATTAGTTTATATTATTAATTAAATGTTTACAAATAATGTATTAAATTTCCTTTTTCTTTTGTAAAGAAAGTCTGTTAGTAAATGTTAGTTCAGAATTTAAAAATACACCATATTTTAATTTTATTTTGGTAGCTTCTTAAAAAAATAATTAATTTTGATAGAAAATCCTTAAAACAAGCAAAACAAAAAAAAACAATATGTGAAATACATAAAATGTGGGGGAGCCTATGACTCACAATGTGGTTTTTTTTTAATCACAGGGCAGAACTTAAAGCATTTTTTTTTAAAACCTGAATATTTTATAACACATGATAACCTGATTGAATTTAATTATGCCTATTGCACTAAAATATCATCCTATTCTATATTTTATTTTAGTCCTACTTTATTTTGATAACTTATCCCTACTACAGACTGGTAACTTATCCCTAATACAGACTGGTAACTTATCCCTACTACAGACTGGTAACTAATCCCTGCTACAGACTGTTTACTTATCCCTGCTACAGACTGGTTACTTATCCATACTACAGGCTGGTATATTCATGGAATTGGAACTATGAACATTACAGATGATTCTCCTTGATTTTTATTTTGTAACAGGATAAATGATGTGGGAAATGTGATGCTGAAGGGAATGATGTGAAATGGAATACAGAATTTAGTCAACTTTGACACCCAATAGCAAAGTGCTGTTCGCACTCAAGTTTATAGCCCACAGGTCAAGTTCAAGTACATGGCAACTAAGACCTAAATTTGACCTTTAACCTCTCACCTAAATAACTATTAAGGAAAAAAAAATCTGGCATGAGACTTGCTCAAACTAAGACACAGGAAGCAAGTCCACCCTCGAAAAACCTATCATATTAATCTACAGAAACATATCAGTGATCTGACAACATGAACATGAGGCCATTCCGAAATTTTCTATTCAAAGGAAAATGACAGATGTAACTGTCAGTTCTATAGACCTACTAAATTGTTTGATTTCTATCCTCACTCAGAGCAGGAGCAATTCTTAAAAGTCTACAAGTTTGTCCTGTTACAGAAGGATGCCAGGTCTGCCATAAAACTGAGGACATGTTGAGCTGGATTGACATAACATTTTTACAATCAACCCAGAGTCATCAATTCTAGACATTTCCATCATCTCAATAGCAATTCTTCTTGCTAAAAACAAAAAATGCAGCACACAAAATAAAATGCCCCGATTCACTAAAACAAAACAAAAATTAGAGAACCACTGGGGAAGGAATGTCCAATGGTAAACAGTGTTCACCGCAATGCATGCTGGACAGGAGTTTGTCAAAGTTGAGTAAAGTATGCGCCTGACAGGCAAATGAAAGACAAAATACAACAGTTTTGAAACAGGATAACACAAAAAAATTACAAGGATAAATACTGAGTATGAGATCAGATATGTAATAACCATGTCAGGATTTAAGACGTCTGCTCAACTAAAACATTAAACCATCAAAACAAAAATGAATAAACGATAGGACCATTCTTAGAGAAGGATCTCAACCGTGAACAGATACGACTATTAAGTTAATACCAGCGCACTTTAGGTGTACTGCACTTCATGGCGCAGAGGCCGGTATCGTAGCAACTGTTTTGACCAACTCACTCTGCACTGTAGCTCATGGAGGACTTTGACAACGGTTAACTGTTTCAATGGTTAACTGTTTCGACTTAATTTATTTTGTGGCCACACATGCTTTGAGCTGGATTAAAATAACTGCCTACAATAACAACAAACATAATAGACAGACAACATGGGAACAAAAACATTGTTTTACAGGGGGTGACCCATCATAAGTGCTTATAAAGTTTTGAATTTATGCAGACCAAGACAGAACCCTTATATTTATTACACAAGTTTATCATAGTCTTCTACAGAAAATTGCACTTCTATTATCTTCACAGAAAGCAATCCTTTCCATTAACTTTGCCTTCAACACCGTTAAATTAGAATTATCAACATAGACTAGCATAATTTCAAGCTTGGATTATGGTGAATTAACTAAACATAACATTTTCACAACAGTTGGTGTTCTTGCACATTTATTAACACAAATGATCCTCGCTGATAAAAAGCCCCGCTGTCTCAAACACGCCTGTAAACAAAATATATATGTTGCCGACACGCAAGTTGTTCACACACACACACACAAAAGCATTACTATTTCCAGCCAGAATTCAATCAAGCAGACAATATCACCTAAATAAAGCAGCTA